CCATCAGGGCTACTGACTCGTGAGATATCCAATGCCTCCGATGGGTTTGAGGCTCAGACCCACAAACATTCGCTGCGGGATGCATCGCTCGCTTAATCTGATCCCACTGCTCGTCTACATCGCCACGTTGAGGTGCATTTAGCTTACGCACTAGCTCCGACTCATAGAGTGCCTGAACTGTTGGAACAGACAGTCGATGACGAGCTATCCGATTTTCCTGATTTTGTCGCCCGCCAATCAGTCGAAGAGTGAACTGCATCAGAACTAATGCATGGTCAGACTCAAGGCAGGTGGTTCGATAGGACCTGCAATGAGCCACACCGACCGTAACGCAGTAGGTTGGACTTCTTCAGCAGACGCTATTTGAGGTGCTCGGTCGTTTGGGAGCATTTATACAAGGGTTCCGGAATCGGAATCAGAGACACCCACTACCTACCATACTCAGGCATTTAAAGACACACGACTAAGGCGGGATAATGTGTATGATACTTCAATAGCAACAGAACATGCGTTTTAACAGAACTCGCCTCTTTGGTGTCACTACACAGAAGTTTTAATAAATTATCTTCGTATTCTTTGAAAATCATGTTCTAGAGAAATTTTGTTCAACCCAGTTATTTTCGTATGCTAATGGCTCTCATGCATTACTCTTGAAGTGATCCTCGCTTTTCGGATTGTCGGGACCACGTGGATAAAATTAAAATGCCACGGGTGTGACTTGACTAGTGCGAGCCCTTTTTTGATGTAGTTAGGGATGCGAGGTTTTGTTTTGTTTACCCGAACAATTCTATGTAGTAACAGTTCAAACACGGGTCGTTTTGCTGGCTGTTACTGCTCATGCAATGTAAACTCACCAGGTTCGTATTCAACCTGTGTTCTTGCTTTCGGTACTAGAATGAAATAAATATCTTGGACGCCAAATGAGTGTTCAGTCATGCACCACGGAATCAGAAGCGGTAAGTCCTGTGCATGCTCACAGGGAGTGTTTGGTTGTGTGCAGTGTAGTGTATTTTATTAGACTGCATCAATCAATCACTTACAAAGCTCGCATATATGGTTCAAACCCATGTTCTCATTTCGTCTTCTTATCGTTCCATTCATTTGCTTTCCGCTGCGCACAATGTTAGCACGTTGCTCGTTTCTTCTGTCTCCTAGCAATCCGTTGTTTTTTCTTTCTGTTTTCCTGTAACCAACCAACTTATTCAGATCGATCAAGTTTGCTAGGCCGATAATGCAACTCATTCCCGGATGATGACAGAGCGGATTCTAATTATGACCCAACTTGACTGATCTGTCGTAGAAAATGTCTCTGGGGATGCGACATGCTTTTAACCTCAGTCCAGCCATTCTGGGTCGAAACACCCAAACGATTGTAAAACACACTTATCTCTGATTATTCGGGAATAAAAAACAACACCGAGTTCTGCGAACTTCAAAATAGTTCTACTCATACAAAAAACAACTTTAGTTTTTCCTATTGCACAATCTAATTCACCCACATGGGCAGCCAAAGGAGCAAACAAAAGCGTCAAGCGGAAATGCGTGCTTAATGGTTGTTTAAACTGAATTGAACTGATTTACAGCAAAAAGGGGTAAATCCCGTACACACGGACGAGTGAAGGTATGCGGAGTAACTGTCTGATGAAAACCAGGTGGTTGATTCTGCTTTTGGAAAAATGAAGAATATAAGTGATTGGAAATACAGAGACATAGGAAGAGTACATTGACGACGTCGTTTGTCTGTTAAAAGGTATGGAAGATGCGCAAAGCCGTCTTTGCAGATGTTCAAGTTCTGTAACTCCATTTGGTGTGTGCTTTGCAAAGTGCAAAGTGATCGTCTACCCCGACTATGAGGTTTGTTGGGTATTCCCTTCACTATGCCGACATCATTTGTCACACAATTACCTAATTAGGAGAAAATCGATTTATGACACCCTCGGCGTACTGAAACACCTCTAGCCTCAATGTCTTGTTTCCTTGGAACTAAAAGGTCAGGTGAACTGCGTCACTGTGCGGCCAATTCTGTTTTGCGTTTTGGAGATCCCAAATTTATCTAAAAGTCTTCAACTATCGATGTTTACATAGCGCGCTGGATAGTATGATCGTGTAAGCGACTCTTAGATAAGGCGTCGCGTATTTGGTAATGATTCGTTGGAGAATTCGTTATTACACTGAATCCAGATTAGTATTTAACTCATCGCTCATGCCAAGCTGTCGTTTACCGCACCATGCTTTATTTGCAGTTGCGGCCCCAGGTAGGAGAAAACCACGTGGAACTCGACAGATGAAGTGGAAAAAAGGCATGAATAAATGCGCCGAACGATTACGTAGAATGGGTTTCCGGTTTTCCAGGTAGGGATTCAAGAGACCCCGTAAATGGTTGGTTGGAAACGCTGTGATATGGGAATTAACTGACAGCAGAGGCGTTCTTGTTGTCACTTCTTATCAGGTCAGAATGCTTGAAAAGATGTGCATGGACCGGTGGGTTCACTTTGTTTGCCTCCTTCCAATCAGACCCAATCCCTGTCCTTGTCGATTCTCGCTTATACTTTATGCTTATTGTGAGCTTGATAGCGATCAGCTATGTTCACTCCACTGTATTTCATTGTACAACGATGATGGTGCCTGGACCGAGACTGCTTACGTTGGGTACACCTCGAAGTCTCACTGCACCCCACTGACCTTAGGTTGCAATCCAGCCTGGTAGGGCAGTCTCAGCTCCTTCAATGAAGCCACCCATGCCAGCAAGACCTGAAGCCACAGACTCAGAGTTTCCAGCAAACCCAATTGATACTTTGCAGATCAGCTTCCACTGGACGTCAATCGAGTGCGCAGCTGGAGTCTTGAATGCCAGTCTCTTGGGTGCAAGAACGATGGCTGGTGTTTCGAGTATACAGCCTTAACTTTCCCAATGTCGCCAGCTTAAGGAGCCATCAGGGACAAAAATGTGTTTCCATCGGCGGAGAATTCGGTGTAGCTCAAACGCCACTTGAGGCTGGGATGCGAGAAAACAGCGATAGGATTTGTGTCTGAGGTCCTACTGTTAGTACAATTGTCTGGTGTATATATTAACGCCGGCTTGTGGACAAGCATGGTGCCAACGCCACAACAATAATAATATTGATAATCACACCGGATGGATGGATTGGGATACGAATTAGAGTGAAAGGAAGGTGAAACAGTTAAAATGGAAAACAGTACCAAATGCAATGATATATGGTGTGTATAAGAGGGTATAGGGCTGTGGGAAACTGAATGATCGGTAAAAGGGACACGGGAACTACGTGAAAGGTGGGCGTATCGGGTCCGTGTGAATTTCACGGGGTGTTGGGAGTACCGGGTTCAACACAGACTGTAACAGTACAAAACAGCAGATTTCAGCGCGATAGGAATGATAGAACATAGCATTTTTTGGCAAGTTCATCTGTGAATAGACAGATGATGACATTGACGGCACAGTCGAGTGTCGCGTTGGATAAGTCGATGCACTGAACGTTTCAACTTGATCTAATCTAGGCTATATACGTATCCAACGACGATGATTTGCTACAGTTGGTTTTGTCTAGTTGCGTGCATGTGTTATAGGCATTCGCGATTGGCGTTTGCATTGTACACCACACTCAATGTCCGTTAGTTTTTACCTATCCCATTCGCACCATATTTATCTTCACTTCCGCAATTAACTGTTCCGGTTGATTAGTGATTTCGTGTTGTGTTTATCCATGGTGCTTTGCCTTTTAGGGGTAACTCATTATCAGGATGAATTTAGGTTGACCATTCTAACCGGATCAACGTATCTGTGCAACTCTTTTCAGGCATCTCATCATCGGGCTTCCGTGGACAGTTTGCGCAGGGTTTTCCAGAAGGTATGTTGTACATAATTTTTTTCTGTAGCACCTTGAACGCGACGAATTGTTGCACTCCCTGAAAGTCCCCTTTCCCGTTGATGTTTCGTTTTTGGTTTTCACAAATAGTTTTACCTTTTTCAGTTGATTGATTTACCATGTATTTGAGGTTCTTGGATTGTGGTTCTCGTTATCAAGTGCACATTATGTGTTCAATCGTATCGTGGTTTTCAAAACAATAGTCTGTTACTGAATTTTGTCCATTTACGAACCTAAATAAAGCTATTTGAGCTTGATTACTCCTCCGTTTGTGGACTGGATCAAACATCTAAGATGCCCACCACACCCCACGATGCTCCATTGAGTCGTTGACCACCGCCACATCCTGGACGGTGTGCCCATGAGGTTTGGATGCCTCTTCTTGTTGAACTGTCAGTGGTTCACCGATTCTGTTATAGTCCCAGATGTTGGATTTTCGTCCTCTCATTTCCATGAGAAAACACTTCCACCACGGAGCAACAGTGAGTGGAGCTTTCTTAGCAGGAACTAATTGAGACGCCTTGTTGTCACAAATTACTGGGCTGGGGCTGACCAAGTCATTCACCCGCGCCATATCGCCGCTATTTAGATCGTTTTGTATATCTTTATCCCGGCACTGTTTCCGGTCTACTATTATTTCTTTCTGTTGTTTTATATAAACGAGCAACCAAAACAGGTGTGAGGTTAGTGAATGTATCTTAT